TATTATCTCGGGTTGTTCCTAGGGATGTCGGAAAAACAACGATGCATCGAAAATATCGATATTTTGCTTCGATGCATCGACCATTTTCCACTCGATGTATAAATGCATCGATGCTTTTTGAAAACTGACGTCTCTAGGTCACTAGACTGCCATTTCACTTTTTCAATTGTGCAAAAAAGAGACCCTTTTTTTTTAGAAAATCTCTTGATTGCAGGTTTTTTTTATCTATCTCAGTCAAACAGATTAAGTTTCACAAATGAAGCAATTTCCTTCAGTAATTTAGATTTTTAAACCTCTTTTAAAATATTACCTACATTTTCTTCATACAAAAATAAGTAACGTTTTATGTTATATGTACCGAGAAATCGTATTTTCGACTGGAATGTACAACAGACCTGCTATCAGGAGGCTTTCTAAAACACTTTTAAAATTAAGGGAGAATTTTCAATGTATTAAAAATTTAAATTTAATTGGCATTGAACTTTCTAAGTGAACTAAAAACATTAAACAATTTCGATTTTATCTGATGCTTTATATATATATTCACATATACATATGTATGTACATACAGGGACGTCACAAATATTTTCATCGATCTGTTCCAAAAGGTGCAAAGAGTATTCCCGAGATATCTTATATTCCTTACATGGCGAGATACTCTTCAAATATTATCCTAGGATCAGCCAAAGAAAAAAACATTTCGCCTAATGTAGTTCTTACACCTTTAACTAAAACCACAATGACACCCTCACAGCCGCACAATCATGTATGTATCACTCTTTTTCCTACACGATAATGCGTAAGAACAAAAAAAAAACATTGAAAGAAAATTTTAATAAGAGGATATTTATTTAGAAAAATTAAATAAGTTTGACATGATGTTTTTTCTAATTCCGAATATCGAAATGTTTGCTCGGGACCTTCAGAACCCTTGATTGCCCACCACGGGTACGAAAGAGGCAGCGAGACTTCATCAAACTGATTCAAAACGATCCAAGGACTCCGTACTGATTAAGGCATCCAATCTGGGACCATTTTGTGAATCGGGATCTTAAATTGGTAAACCCGGGATCCCGGGATATTTCGGGATATTGTTACCATTAATTTAAATATGCTAACAAACTAGTTTTGTAGTCTTGCTTTAGTGCAGATACTATAAATAAAAATAAATT